TATAATAACAGCGGCCAACCTTGGTGGTGTGTCTTCAGACTGTGCTTCATCTTCTTCTTCCTCATGGTCCTTCAAATCTCGAGCAGTGGATAACATGCCATCACTTGGCAAGGGTGTTTGTAGTTGTACCTAAATGAAGCAGACTTCAGTTGTAGTAATTGATTTAGAAGGTTGATGGTGCGATACATTGGAATTTTATGGAATTCACAATCTGCCTACTATACAAGGAGGCTGAGCCTGTAAGGGAACGATACATGGAGGCTTCGGTAGAAAAGATGCGCCCGTAGGTACGCTACGAACCTCACTGTTGGTGCCTTCAAGCCGCTACCCGCCCCGATAGTTGCTGATCCCTGACGGCATGACCCTAGTCTTTCTGGCAGGGAAGGAGTAGCGCGTTGATGGCGGTAAACTCGTCTACGGCAAGGAGTTTCCAGGAAATCGGCAGAAAAAGAAACACTCGGCTCTGTTGGCCGATGTCAGACTGTGCGAGCGATTCGCAGTGTCGCGGCCAGCGGAGCGATCCTTCGGCTTGTACCGCAACGCGGATGCTAGCGAACCGCTCGATTCGCGAACTCTGACATTGGCCTTTTATAAACAGGCAACTTCCCCGCCGTTTTCTAGCGCTATTTAGTATTCCATTTAGTCGGCACCATTTAGTATTCCATTTTCTTTTCTAACGACGACTTTCAATTTGTGGTATCATCTGCCTTCAACTGTGTGGAAAAGGCTAGGTCCTTACTTTTGAGTGCTTCCATGTGCATTTATGGAGAGAGCCTATCCTGCCAACAGCTTCTCGCATAATCATCGAGATAAACATGCCAAGATCAGCCACAGTCAGTAACGTGAATGGAACACCAACCAGTCCGAAGAAAATGCAGAACAAACGACCAGAAAACGTTTCAGGGGCAATGTGACCATATCCTGTAATGATCCTCATTGAGTAAGCTCATAAAGTAAGAGGTGAAAATGCAAAGCCTAAGCAGATTAAGGCATATTTCCCGATTGAATGGGCGTGGGGTGCCGCGCCAGAATTTATTGTGGTCGTAGTAGTTGGTCCAAATGAAAAAAAACACAAAGGACCGCTGAGACGTTAAAATCACATGTGACGATGGTTGGCGCAGGTGGTATTTGCGCTTCGCCCCTGAAAGTGTCTCGTTGGTATGGCTCTCCGGGAAATTGCAGTGAAGTGCAAAGATACTAGGTAGGAACAGAGACTTTCCCAGGGACTAAGCGCAAGCTCCGCCCACACAATCGGCTTGCTGTGTAATGGGGTTGTTCGTCACGGTCTAATCGGCGCGCTATTGACCCGTACCCCCTCCCCCTTCTCGAGTCGTCGTCTCTGCCGGGAAGGTGTCAATTCCATGGACTCTTGAATTGAAACTCATGTAAATCGATAGGCTAGATGATGGTTACAAGCCATGAGACCAAAGTGGCCTCCACGTGAACCTGCCAGGGAAATCATTAGTGACCATGTGACCATGTCGCTCCCCAGGGTGACAACCCCATTTCGCACTCACGGTTGGCGCGTCCAAATTGTCCAATGCATCTGCCGCCGAAATAATGTCGTCTTCACAATCAGAGGCATCAGAACCATTTGCTAGTATGCATTTGCTAAATATCACTATGTCAACGCTGCATTAACAGCCGAATCTGTTCGCTCACAAGTTCCTCGGTAAGTTTGCGTAGCAGTTTTGCGTTTTATATTTGTAATCAGCATGCTACGCGCCATCGATTTACCTAGGTCTCAACTCAACGTTTACTGAATCTAAAGCACTTTCCTGGTGAGCCCCTAGCCGTTCGAGTGAGAGAGCGTTAGCGCTGATGAGGGCAGCACCGATGAAGTCGCACCGATGCGCAAATCAACGGGCAACGAAAGGCCCATTCCTCGGGTTCTAAGCCATTTGTACAGCTTTCGTCTTTCAGCACACATGATACATAGCTTGACTTAATTCCAATGAGACTGCTTTCGATCGTGAATCCCTCTAACAAAAAGGTACGGGTTGCGTTTGTGACTTGCGGAGTCGTAATAGGGTTCATGAAGGTGAAAAGGTCACAATGGCCGGTCCCCTTCATATGTGATGGGAAAAAATGTCAGTTGTCATGGAGGGTATTTATCCTATCCAAAAGAATAATTTGAATTCACAATAACACACATAGAGATAGTATCAAAATTGAATAACTCCGACCCTACACGTACCTATAGTTGTGATAACGCTGAAGGTGAAGATGAGCGCGTTTCCGAACGACCACTTCTCCACTTCTTTCGCAATCTCGTCTTCAATTGATGGCTCTGAAAAAGTTTTTAGAAGCTGACGTGGGGACAAAATCAAAACAGTGTACGCACGTGTGGAGACCTCAACTTCTTTGGCCGTTGAACCAATCAAAGGTACGTCCTTTGATCCTGCCGAAGGCGGTTCCACATTTTCGTAACACTCATCGATTAAATCAATATTTATGTTCTCCATTTGATAGTCATCACAGTCAGTGCTTGCCATGACTCGTTTGACCGCCCACTCCAAGCACTGATGTACCTGGAAAGTACTGCTCAAATCAGATCACAACAGTGGAAAAAAACGTCTGCAATTCTGGCACCTTTGGATCCATCGCGGATACCTCCGAGCCGAGGTAGACGCGGGTGAACGCATCCGGGTCCCCTTCCCGCTTCAAGCGAGTACCACTGAAATCCAAAAATAGTTTCTCACTTAGGTGCGTGTCATAAAGAGTGGCTATTAGCTGTAAGGTAGGTAATAGAAGGTGCATGCTATAAAAGGCAGAGGTGCTGAAGACATTTGGGTGCTAAGGTGCTAAGTGAGTTGAGGGGGGACCACGCAGCAGAGCAGTTTTTTCGAGCGTGATGGGATTGAGCCTGAGCTGAGAAAGGAGTGGGTAAGCTGTGAACATTATGATTAGTGATTGACTTTTGTCACAACTGAGCCTCCCTCTAGGATCAGGCTCAGTGCCTGCACGTTGGACAGACGCGCGCAGAGGCGTGATCCCCGCCCCTCTCTCCCCTCCCCCCCCCAAGCCAGTTAGCACTGACATGTGGAGCATGCCTTAGATACCAATCTTGGATCGCATGCTGTTAAAGCCAATCAAGCCTTCCATCCTTCCGGGACCGGTCATCGCTACCGTCCTAGGCCGAGGAAATCCGCACGTTTGGCTAGCTTCAGAGGAACTTCCGGATTTACGTACGTATGCGTATTTCTGGAAGATATCAGAACAGGAACTTCAAAATGTGGGACCGTCACTCAGCTCACTGGATTTTTTAATGGCGTCCTGTTTCATATGCGTGAAGCAGAATCTGACTAAACGACTACAGGGATACTGGGACATCATTCATGAACTCTGAGTGTCATACATGGCTGGGACTTGGGAAAGGGAGTCATGCAGATTCCGAAATCAGCCTATTGAGGCAGCTGGCCATCTATATGTAGTAAACTAAAACTGTATATGATAAGCCGACTAGAAGTGTAGGTTGCAAGTTATAAGGACTCATCTTTTGCCAATAATTCGGCACTCTTAGGTATAACTGGCGTCTTCACGTTGTCACATGTCATTTCGGAGACGAAAAATAAGAAAAAGACAATGAGAACTCGAGCATGAATTTTCGATGCTCTTTTTCAAACTCGCTAGATTACTGCCTTGTAGGAAATGGGGAAGGAAATCCTTATAGGTTAATTTTTTCATGGAAACATTCCCTTTATTCTCGGCAAATTTCATTTCTGCAAACAT